TCTCCACCCGGCCGCCGCTTCTGCTCCGACGCTGCTCACCACCATCTCACCCCTCCTTCACCACCACCACCATCTTCTCCAGATCTATCGCCCACAACATCTTTGAAATTTTAGTTTCCATCAATAAACTTTACACGTGCCTCAAACCTTCACACAATGTCCTATTTTGACGGCGGTGGCGGCCACAAGGCGAGCAAGAGAAGAGAAAAGAACAAAAAGATGCAATTGTTGGACTAGCAGGTTCGGCCGTCAAACTCGTCGCCGTCGAGAGAAATCGTTTGGAGATGTTGTAGATAGGCCGTTGCTGTAATTGGGGCTGGGGTTAGCCTCGGGTTGTGCGGATTCGGGTCTGGTATGTGGATTGCAGAAGAGGAGGTGATGGTGCTGAACTTGGGGTCGGGGTTGGGGTTTGGGGGGTGGGGAACGGGAAGAAGACAATGATTTTTTTTTTCTTTTTTCTTTTTTTTTTTAATGACATATAATATTTTTTCAAATTATTATTTTGCATTCTGGAAATTACAATTTGGTCCTATAAATTTAGGTTATTCATAATTTAACCAACAAGGTTATTTTTTATTTTATAAAGGGGTATTTATGATAAAGGAGACTGAAGGGTTTTTATGTCTTTTCCTGTCCTAAAATGTCCTAAAACGCACGCCCAGCTGCATGAACCGCGAGTGTATCCCACGATTCGCTCGTAGGGTCCTTATTGTCATTGACTTCCTTTCATAGGGGGGTATTTGCTAATTTTTTTATCAGAGGGGGTTTTTTGACAATTAGACATTTCACAGGGGAGCCGAGTGCAAATACCCCAATCTTTTGAGGACATGTTGTAAGGACTGAACATGTTTGTATGCGGATTTAATGATTTTCTTTGAGGGTGGAACAAACGAAATTTCGGAAGATTTTAGAAGGCGCTCGATTACGGATTTTAGAGATATCACAGCAGCATAAGCCATTTTTTCTCTCTTCTTCTCTTTCTCACACTAATTTCTCTACAGATATTGCTTAATGAAATTATAAATGTGAGCTGATTAATTTGCAGATATGTACTAAGTCAACCATTGTGTTTACAACTTGTTGCCCAAGTTTCTGCTGGCCATTATTGGACAACTAATCATTAATATTTCTCGATTTTACAAATATTGGTAGCATAAAATATAGGACAACATGCACTTTACCCTTTACAAATTTCTCATTTTCGCACTTTTTCTTTTAAAAATTCAAAAACTGAATAATCCCCCTTGAAAATATTATTTTGGTTGCACTTTGCCTCAAAAGCCAATTTTTCGTGGGCGTTGTGCAACAAAAATAACATTTTAAAGGGGCAATGTACAAGAAGATAATGTTTTGAAGGGGTAACGTACAACAAAAATAACGAGTAAACTGCAAAAAAATACCCATGTGTAATCTCTAACTAGCGAAAACTCCCCTATGATAAATAAACTAGCAAAAACCCCCCTTGTGAAATTATTTAAATAACACACTCGGCCCATTACTCATTTGAGTGTTGACTTCATATAAAAAGACACAAATATCCCTGAAATTTTGCAATTAATAAATTCTTATATTTTTTAAATATTTTAATTATTTTATTTTTGTTATATCTTAATTATAAAGGTACAATGGGGTCTTTAATTTATTTCTATTTTTATTATCACATAATTTTTGTATATATTTTAAATTATCCCTACATCAAAAGAAAACTTAAATTCCATTATTATGAATTTAAAAAATTATATACTTAATTTGATTAACAAATTTTTAATAATTTTTCAAGGTAATTATTTACTATTTTTTTAACAATATTTTAATTTCTAAACAATCAAATTAAAAAGAAAATATATATACATATAATATATATACATATAAATACATTTTTAGGGTCAATTTCATCCTTTCACGTCCAAAAACCAACTACCAGTCGCGCAAACCCGCGAGTGAGCCACACATAAGTCAACCAGAGGGATTTTTGCCTTTGACTAAATTTCACAGGGGGGTTTTTGCTAGTTTATTTATTACAGGGGGTTTTTGCTATTTGGAGATTACACAATGGTACTTTTTGCAGTTTACTCAAAAAATAACATATAAATGGACAATGTGCAACAAATATACGCAAATACCGATGGATGATCCATCGAACATTTGCTATCAGAACAATGTGCAACAAGAATAATATTTTGAAGGGGCACATTCACTTTATAAAATTTTGAAGGGGTAAAGTGCGAAGTAGAAGTGTTTAAGGGGTGATGTGCAATTTGCCCTAAAATATATAATGCAAGGTATGTTTATTATATGTGATTTGAAATGGCCAAAGGCGGTCAATGAGAGCTGGAAATTACGACTAATAATCAATATTAGTACTATTTACCCTCCTCCCTCACAAAAACTCATCATTCATTCTCACAGAGGCCATCAATCTCATTTTTTTATTTTTCAATTTCAGAAAACAATAAAAAATAGTAGAAATTAGAAGCTATAGTGGGTAAACCGCATAAATCATATGAGAATTATGTGCTGATATTACGAGCAGAAGAGGGTCGTCTCAAAAGCTTGTAACCACGGGGTTAAATGCTATTTACGCTTAAAATTTTAATTTATTAATTATATTAAAAATAATATTTTTTCAAAACTATATATTTAGAATATCAAAATTGTTATATATTTATATAATTTAGCTTGTGTTAGAATGTAATTGAATTCTAATAAACAAAGGATGAATAAAGACATGTGCAACAAGTCCTTATGTACCGTGAAACACAAAAGGGAAGTCTCATTATTTACTTTAATTCTTTAATTTGTCATTAATTGTTTCTTTTATATAGGAAATTATCTTATATTTTATTAATTATAAAGGGTTATTCTTATTTTAATGACTTGTCTTCTAGGTATATTAGGTAACTTAAACCTAATGGGTTTCGTATTTCTTGTACAGGAAGATTCAATCACGTATAAAAGAAAAGACATTAGAACGTGATTGGGTGTGCCTTTTTTAAGAGAAAAATATTTCTCGTTTCTTTGTTATTCCTACACGTCTTCTTCGAGAGAAAAATTCACACAACATACATTCATTGCTCTCATTTTTATTGACGTCTTTTATCGAGAGAGAGTTCAGAGAAAATATTTTTTCCTCTCGTTTTTATTGCTCCATCGTGATACGTGATTTTCATAGAAAATATATCGGCTTAAAGGCTTTGTGGTGAATACACCAAAATTCAAGGATTATCACAAGTTTGCTTCTTCTATATAAAAAGAAGATCGGTTCTTCAGGAGAGGGGCTTAAACAGATCTCAGGAGGAGATCGATCCGCCGACTGAAGGGATTCAACGTTGAAGGGAGTTCAACCGAGCAAAGAGGAGGCTGGCATAATCGGAGTTACTAGTTTTAAGTATTGCACAAGAACGGCGTCATGATAAAGAGAGAGTCTTTAATTTATTGTTTAAGTCCTAATATTGTGCTTGTAAAACTTAAATAGTGAATATTCGTTTTTTGCAGATCCTAGTGGATGTAGGGTACAATTGTATCCGAACCACATTAAATTTGTGTCTCGTTTATTTCTGTTTTTACAAACTGTTTCACGAACTGTTGCAACACTTCACGCAAGAGTAACGCAAAACTGAATCTGACACAAATAATTAATATTTGCATGAAATAAATTCTAACAATTAGCATCAAGAGCCTGTCACTAGATATACTTAGTGAGATTTTGGGTATTAATTAATTTATTTTGTTACGTGCAGATATGTTTCATCGAGAAGGAACCTCTACAGTACGACCACCACTCTTGGATGGATCAAATTACTCTTACTGGAAATCGAAGATGAAAATGTTTATCAAGTCCTTTGATGAACGAGCTTGGCGTGCTATCGTGACCGGTTGGACCCCTCCCATGGAAAAAAGGAACAGATGGTGTGGAGACGGTAAAACCACAAGAAGCATAGACTGATGCAGATATATTATTTGCCAGTTACAACTCAAGGGTGATAAACTCAATTTCCAATGGCATTGGTGATAATAAGTTCAAACTGATATCGTCTTGTGAATCAGCAAAAAGGGCATGGGAGATCCTACAAGTGACATATGAAGAAACGTCAACTGTCCGAACATCCAAGCTGCAGATGCTTGCCACCAGATTTGAGAATCTAAGGATGGAAGAAAATGAGATGATTGCTGATTTTCATGCAAGGTTGTGCGACATATCTAACAAATCATATGCACTCGGCGAACCATACTCAGAAAGTAAATTGGTGAGAAAAGCGCTACGATCATTACCAGAAAGATTTGTATACAGAGTAGCTGCTATTGAAGAAGTGAAAGATGTTGACACACTTAAACTTGATGAACTTATGGGGAAACTGCAAGTACACGAAATGAACCACATGAATAGCCATCGACAAAAGAAAAAGGTGAAAATGTGGTATTTCAGATTGAAGCTTCCCATGGAAACTCACAAGGCCAAATATTTCCTCAGTATGACCTTGATGTTGAAGAATCTTTGGCAATTATGTCAAAGGACATTGAAAGGCTACGTCAAGAAATTGAAAATAGAAGAAGTTCCTCTCAGTCAGGTAAGTCTGTTAACCCTCAAACTTTTAAAAAGTTTTCTAATAATGGTTATTCTTATGACGCAAAGTCTAGATGAATACAATGTCGAGAGTGTGGGGGTTTTGGACATATTCAAACCGAGTGTGCAAACACATTGAAGAAAAACAGGATGTCACTCACCACTGTTTGGAGTGATAGAGAGGACAGTGATGAGGATGAGAACAACAAAGAAGACCAAACCACTAATTTTGTAGCATTCAGTGGTACTACTTCGATGAGCAGAACTGAGGAAAGTGTTGCAACAGTCTGTCCAACAGAACTCAGGTATGATGAAGTGCCTAATACCTCTGAGATTTGTTCATATACATCCATGTAAACAAAATTTTGTTTACCAACATCTACCTCGTTCCAGTACTCTGTTGTCTTGTCGGCTCTGGACAAGATCTCGGCAACTTTCAAGATTGTGGAGGAAGACCTTCACAGTTCTCAGCAATCTTCTTTCCAGCTTTCTCAAGTTCGTAAGAGCACGATTCTCGTTCACCAAATACCTTCTCACAAAGAAGATCCCAACTTTCCTTTTTATCCAGGAACCATATCATGTAATAGGGGAACTTTAAACAAGTCAAAGATTGTGGCAGCCTAGTTGTCACCAATACACGACTCCCATTTGTGTCGTCTGGAAAACATTCACTGAGAAATCTCTCATTGTGCCAAACATCATCCAGCGCGATCAAGTATTTCCAATCCTTTAAACTGTTGCGCATCATCATTTTCAAGCCATGAAGTTTCCCTTGATCTCTTTCCGTAAATGTCAATTTCCCATCGAACTGATCATGACTCACTTGCTTTAGAATATCTAGAAAGACATTCTCTAATTTTCTTTTTGGGCCCATGGTGACAAATGCACGGGTTTCATAATGACTCCAATCCAATGGATCGTGAAAGAGTTTCTTGGCAAGAGCAGTTTTACCAATGCCGGCCATACCCACGAGCGAGGTCGTGTCACGAACGGAATAGTTGGTTGTGAGCTCATCTTTGATCCGGATAAACTGATTAGTTAATCCAACCATTTTTGAGTACCCATTCCCATCAAAACGACCATAATCATAATCTTCTTCTTCTGGTGATTCATTCCATATTTCTCTACGGTAGTCCGCCTTCATCGTTTTCGCCATTTGGATAGAAGAATCAACGTCTTGCTTTAGTTCCAGCAAGTCTACTGAAAATGAGATTAATGGAGGATGATCAGTTTGTTCGGACGACTGTGAAAGAAACTGATTCGAGACATGAGAATTGATAGTATTCTCTAATTTGGACACCGCCTCTATGATTTGTTCATCCAAGCAATTCACCTTGCCTCTGCTGCTGCTTTTCGAGAACTTCTTGCAACGAACACACCTCCTCGTATAGATGTTCCATGATTTGTCGAGAGGAATGTATAAGAACAATCGAAATATGAGAAGAATTTAAAAGGTGCTGAACTGTCTTTTTAAGAGAAATCACGGCAGCGTAAGCCATCTCTGGCTCTGATCCGATCTCTCTCTTTTTTTTTTCTCACACAATGGAACAGCTCTTTGTCACAAGTATTTGTTATTGAAAATCATTGCCTTCTTCAAAGTATGTATGTGTAAATAAGAGGTCAAACTATGAATGTGAACGCTAGAAAGAGGGCAATAAACGAGCAATCTATTAATCTTTCAATAATCTTTTTTTTAATGAACTCGAACAACTCTCTAGCATGAAGGCGGCCGAATCATATATTAAGAATAGTTCACAACTGGAGCTGTGGAAATTATTAAAGTGTCGTCTGATGTGTTTGGCTTGATGTGGGCTTGTTGTGTATTATCATTACGTGCTAGTTAAATTGTATTATTTGTCAATAAATGTGAGTATTTTTTTTATATATCTTTTTAATTCAATTTTTATCATAAAAAATAATAAATTTAATTTCTAGCATATGTAAGAATAAAATCGTAAACCGTTAGATTTTATTAAAGCGTAAGATTTGAATGTTGCTATCTAATAAATAACACTTGTGTTGCTGCATTATTCAACAATTATTAGGTGGAGACAAGTCTATAATTTGATATAGTTGTCTCTCTTTTGTCTAATCTTTGATTACGCAAAAGTACTTTGACTAACAAATGCTTGTGACACGACACAACAAAATGTACTTCGCCGTACACGAAATGTACTACGTCGTACACGAAACCCTGGGCTGAATAGAATGAAGCCCTTACACATACATAAACATTAGTCCCAACAATAACCGAAAACCCGAATGTAGAAATGATACATTTTTATAAAGTCCAACATCTGACAACCAAAAAAAAAAAACCACATAAAATGAACGGTCACAAAGCAGAGAGACTACAACGCAACTCGTCGCATACTATGACATGACTCCGACAGTCTCAACCGGTCCGCCTAAGCATCCGTGGAATCACATGCCTCACCTGAGAAAGAGAAATTACATACACAACATTGGGACAAACACAAATAAGATGCAACAAGGATCCCTTGAGCTAATTGCAGTCAAATAAAGCACAATTTATCAATTTAAAACACCAACAAATTAGAAATGGGAAAAATACAGTTTGATCCCTCATGTTTGCACTGATTTCACATTTGGTCCCTCATGTTTCAAAAATTAAACACTTTTAGTTATTTATGTTAATATTTCATTAGTACTAATGGAATCAGCTGTGTACCCATCACTGCCTTAACTATCCAACTAACAGTAAATTGACATAAATGACAAACGTGTTAAATTATTAAAACATGAGGGACTAAATGTGAAATCAGTATAAACTTGAGGGATAAAAATTATAATACTCCCAATAAAAAATTCAGCACTTAGGCTCCCACAGTAGGAAACCAAGACTCTAGATTAATTATGAAGTCCGAATTCAATTAGACTCAAACCCTCATTTCTAACCAATTCCTACATAACCCCTAAATTAATGAAGAACCGTAATTCAGGAAATCTAGCAATTCGAACTAAACACGCAAAATTAATTTATTAACCCCAACTTCGAATTAATTTCAGAGAAGGTACAATTAAGCAATGGGAAAATTACAATTTTCTTTCCTCAAGTTTGCACTGATTTTTTCACATTTGGTCCCCCATATTCGCAAAAAATACATTCGCGCGATCCTTCATGTTTCAATAATTTAACACTTTAGGTCCATCAGTTAAGGAGTGACGGGCACATGCTCGATTCCATTAGTAATCACAGACAATTGATGGAAGGACTTAAAGTGTTGAATTTTTTAAACATGATGGACTAAATGCAATTTTTTGTGAACATGGAAAATCAAATGTGAAATCGCTGCAAACTTAATAAGTGAAAATTGTATTTTTCCCATTAAGCAATGCACTTAATACACACAAAAAAACAAGAAAAAAAAAACATAATCATGCACTTAAGTTCAACCATGTAATTAAATCAGTTAACGCATTGAATCTTACACATAGCTCAAATATAGTATAGTAATTGTCATTGACATAAACATCAATTAATTATCATTTGTTTATCATTATTACATCCGAATTAACAGGAAATCGAAGCTAATTGATACATAAAAATATATCATAATCACATTTATAAGCATAATTTAAGCACATTAACACATAACCCATTGATAATTATGTTCAATTAACATAAATTATAGCACATAAAAGTAAATAAAAATGCATAGGCACATAAAATCTCCGAAAAACAAGGGTACCACGTATGACAAAATTATAAAAAGTAAAATTCAAAATTAACTGTGACAAACTATACATATTTAAATTAGATGAAGCCCTAATATAGTGTTCAATAATTCACCCTTAAATAGGATTAAAATTGAAGGACTAACCTTGTGAAGAATCAATATGGTGAATCATGACTGAAGCTCCCATCATCCCATGAAGAATGGACATAAAACTCCGATGAACTTTTATCTTTCTCATATTTGTCGTCCCAATCTTGTTGTAACTTGTTTGCACAAGTCACAGCCATAGGGCTGCAGTCCACGACGCTAACGGCTAGAAGTGATGCCCCAAACATCGTAGGCATCTCTTTTAGCTTGTAGCAATGTAAGATGCGAAGAACATGAATAGCAGGGATGCATCGATCATTTTGAAATGTCCATTGCACCAGATCACTGTCTTCAATCTCAAGATACGCCAGCCTTTGGAATTCATCGTCACGGACCTCCCACTTTGGGCCTCGAAAGGCATAGAATTTCAAGTAGAGATGTGTAAGATTTGGCAATGAAGAAATTTTGCTCATTTCTTCCCACGGATAACCTAAGCCGCTCAAATATAACTTTGTAAGACTTGACGGCAAGTATGAAAGAGGAGCAAGTGGGGCAACGACCTCAGCCTCGAATGTAGGGTTTTGAATGATACATACTAGTGATTGTAGTTTATGTAGATGGGAAACATGATCAAAGCAGCTCAAGGGTTGATCACCATTATCATGAGACGAACTAATTACGATAGATAACTCCATTAGATTAGGGATTTTTTCAAAAACATCTTTGGTACAACTTTGATGATGCAGGCCATGAAGTCCTAAAAGGTTTGGTAAGAAAGATCCTTCACGAGGATCTGATAGTTTTTTTCCCCCAACATCAAGTTTCTTCAATTCTTTCATATCCCATATCTGCATTGGCATATTACATGATGATTTGTTTTCAACAATCAGTTTTTGACCGATGATCAACCACTGAAGGTTCCAAAGTTTGGATATGGAAGAAGGGATGTTTCCATTGAAACAAAGGGAAAGGTATCTTAGTTGAACTAATTTTAATACTTCCATTGGGAATTCGTAGAATCTGATTGTAAAAGCGTGCACTACTCTGAGCATCCTTAATTGTTCCAAACACAATGGTACTGGATATTCATGAAAATTACCAGTACAGAGGAGAGAGCGTACCATTGAAGCTGAGGTAATTGAGTCTTGCACATCTTGTATGGCAAGTAGAACGTTATTTTGCATGCACAGTCGGCGCTGGTAGATTAGATCTTCTTCTGGTAAAGCACCAGCAGAATAATTGAAGGCATAGAAAAACTTGTTCTTGACAGCTTCTTTGTTACACATGTACCAAAAGGATGAATGAAGGGAATAACATGATTTTTCTCCGTCATGTATAATAAGATTTTTTAGAGAAAGCTCAAGAATATAATAACTACAAGGGTCTAAATCAAACATCTCGACCATTTTTAACTGAGAAACTTTTTCACGAAATTGTTCAGCAGAGTAGACAATTCCTTCTGCATTCCACAAGCTATGTAAGCCGAATAACTCTATAAAAAGTATCTTATAACGTTGAGGATAAATTCCCATGTAGAGAAAGCATGCTTTCAAACGTTGATCTAAATAGTTATAGCTTGGAAGTAATACCTTTGACATTTGATCATATGCATCGTAGTAAATCGAATCTTTTTCATCCGATACCTTGTTCCAGTACTCCGTTGTTTTTTCGGATTTGGATAGGATGTTGGCAACTGTGACGATTGTAAGAGGAAGACCTTCACAATTCTCTGCAATCTTCTTTCCAGCTTTCTCGAGTTCATAGGAGCATGCTTCTTGACCAAATACTTTCTGACGGAGAAGAACCCAACTATCTTTCTTATCAAGGAGGGGTAAATCATACCGACAATCATGTGCAATATCAGTTGCATCGCCTATCCTGGTTGTCATCAGTACTAAACTTCGATTATCGTCGTCTGGAAATAATTTCTTCAAGGCAGAACAAAGCTTTTCATCCCATATATCATCTAGCACGATGAAGTATCTCTGATGCTTTAAACTGTTGCGCACCATCCTTTCCAACATGGCCAACGTTTCTCCATCGACATCACTTATTTCAAGAGAAGGATTCAATTGTACTAAAATATGCAGCAAGACGTTTTTTAAAAGATATTTGGGGCCTATGGTGACAAACGCACGTCTGGTGTAACAACTCACAATTGATGGATCTTGAAAGAGTTTCGTGGCAAGAGTGGTCTTACCAATGCCCGCCATCCCATCGAGGGAGAAAATCATCCGTGAAGGATCTTCGTAGTTGTTCGTGAATAAATCTCTGAGTTCAATAAAGTGTTCTGAAAATCCAATCATCGGCTCATGATTTCCACCAAAATTAATTCTTGACGTGACAACATCATCATCTTCTTCTTCTTCTTCGGGTGAAGGGTTGCGTAACTCGTGGATGTAGGCCCTCTTCATCTTTTTCACCGTTTTGATAAAGGAATCGACATCTTGCTTTAGTTCTTGCAGGTCTACTGAGAATAACATTGATGGAGGATGAATCTGATCTCCATGATGGCTTTCTTCGGACTGTGAATGAATCTGATCTAATACGTAAGATTCTATTACATCTTCAAATTGGTATACAACATCCATGATTTCTGCCTCCAAAATTTTCACCATCTTCATGTTAATGGTGTTTCTCCTTTCATCGAATTCTTCGAGAGCATCTTGGAAGGAACAAACCTCTTTGTACAAAAGCTTTATTATTTTTGGGGATGAATTTTGAACAATCGAAATATAGGAGGAATTTTTTAGGCGCTCAATTGTTAGCTTAAGAGAACCAACAGCACCATGAGCCATCTCTCTCTCTCTCTCTCTCTCTCTCTCTCTCTCTCTCTCTCTCTCTCTCTCTCTCTCTCTCTCTCTCTCTCTCTCTCTCTCTCTCTCTCTCTCTCTCTCTCACTCTCACACACACACACACATGCACAGATTTTTCAGTAAACTGAAACTGCTCTTATCAGCTAAAGCATTTGTTAAGAAAAACTGGGTGGGCTTTATGGGTGCAAAACGGACTAGAATTGAAAGAGGAATGAAAGGCTAAGAAAGTATTGATTGATGTAACTTGGTTTGATGAAATGGAATGTTACAAATGGATGCACTTTATAGAAATGGAAATTCAGTAATGCATGAAATAATTTTGTTTTTCCTTTTTTTTTTTTTTTTTTTTTTTGAGGAAGCATGTTTTTATATTAAATGCTCCTCCATAAAACAAGATATATATTAAATTTGTGAAGGTCAACTTCCCACGTCGGGCCACGAGAGGCGTAGCATCGTCCTTATTATTTATTATGTTTAATAACAGTTATTTTATGCTATACCTGATGAAGACTATACTAGGTGTTTTTTTTTATAATTGATTTACATACACTAATATGTGTAAGTCTTTGTTTGTATGTATATGAATAGTAAAGATCTACCAGATGTATTTCATCCGGTGTAACATAGGATAAACCATTAAACGCCGGAGGAGGTTTAGCTAATTTTCCCATTAGACTAGAAAATTAGACTAATCCTATTTGCTAATATGTTAACACATCAACTTGGAAAGCTGATGGAATTGTTTTATATTTTTCATGTCAGTGGCACCCTGATAGGTTCATTGACATTTTGCAATTTGAGATGAAAATTAATTTGAAATAGACTATCATTAAATTAAATCGAAAGATTATACTAATCCAACTTGTTCGTTTACTAATCCAAATTAATACCAACAAAATTCTATTAATTTAGCAAAATATGAAGTTATCGATAAAATAATTGTTATTAGGGGTAATGGCAAATAGGCCCATGACAAGGGCACTTAATTAAAATAGGGACATCCAACTTTTTTGTCTTTCAAATAAATCCACCCCATTCAAACTTATTTGCAAATAAGGAAAATCCCTTTATATATACCAAAATTACCCCCAATTCATTTGAAACCCAATTTAACTCCAATTTCATGATTTACACCCCAATTTAGCCCAATTTCATCAATTAACCAATTTTAACCCAAATTTTAATTTTGACCCCAATTTTAACCCTAATTCGTATCAATTCCACCCATTATGCTCTAACTTCTTTAATATTACACATTGACCCCGGATTTTAACAAATATATCACATTAACCCCCAAAACTTTTTTTTTTCAGAAAATAATTTTTTTTCTGAAATATTTTTTTTCCGGCCAGATTCCGGCGTTGACCGCCGGAGACCGCCGGTCTCCGGCGTTGACTTTTTTTTTTTTTTTTTTTGTTTTCCTGAAATTTTTTTCCGGTCGGTCAACGGCCGTTGACCGCCGGGTTTCCGGCGTTGACTTTTTTTTTTTTTTTTTTTTTTCTTAAAAGAAATATTTTAATTAATTTTACTGTCTTGGCTGTTAAATTACTGTCTCCGGCAGCTATTTAACTATCGGAGACAGTAATTTAACTGTTAATCGACTGTTTTTTTTTTTTTTTTTTTTCTTCAAAAATATTTTAATTAATATTACTGTATTCGTTGCTAAATTACTGTCTCCAGCAGTTATTTAACTGTCGGAGACAGTAATTTAACTGTTAATTGACTTTTTTATTCTTAAAAAAATATTTTTAATTAATATTACTGTATTCGTTGCTAAATTACTGTCTCCAGCAGTTATTTAACTGTCGGAGACAGTAATTTAACTGTTAATTGACTTTTTTATTCTTAAAAAAAATATTTTTAATTAATATTACTGTATTCGTTGCTAAATTACTGTCTCCAGCAGTTATTTAACTGTCGGAGACAGTAATTTAACTGTTAATTGACTTTTTTATTCTTAAAAGAAATATTTTTAATTAATATTACTGTATTCGTTGCTAAATTACTGTCTCCAGCAGTTATTTAACTGTCGGAGACAGTAACTTAACTGTTAATTGACTTTTTTTTTTTTTTTAATTTTTTTCCTTAAAAAAATTTTAATTAAATTAATATTACTGTCTTGGATGTTAAATTACTGTCTCCAACAGTAATTTAACAGTCTTAGATAATAATATTAATAATATTACTGTTCGGAAAAATAATATTCATAATATTACTGTCTCAAACAGTAATTTAGTAGTCAAGACAGTAATATTAATTAAAATATTTTTTTTTTTCTAAGAAAAAACAATTCAAAAAAAAAAAAAAAAAAAAAAAAAAAGTCAACGCCGGAAACCGGCGGTCAACGGTGGTTGACCGGCCGGAAAAAAAAAGCAGGAAAAAAAATTTCAAAAAAAAAAAAAAAAAAAAAAAAAGAAAGTCAACGCAAGAGACCGGCGGTCTCCGGCGGTCAACGCCGGAATCTGGCCGGAAAAAAAACAGTTCAGAAAAAAAATTATTTTCTGAAAAAAAAAAGTTTTGGGGGTTAATGTGATATATTTGTTTAAATCCGGGGTCAATGTGTAATATTAAGGAAGTTAGAGCATAATGGGTGGAATTGTTAAGAATTATATTATTGAGGGTATTTTAGACTAAAGACATGGGGATGGGCTTAATTGAGAGACTGTTTTTTTTGCAGACTAAAATGCATTTAAGTCCCATGTGATGGGCCTTTTTGCCATTTGCCCTTGTTATTATTTGTTTTTTCATTTATTAATAACTTATTAGTAATTTATTATTATTATTATTATTATTATTATTATTATTATTATTATTATTATTATTATTATTATTATTATTATTATTATTATTATTATTATTATTATTATTATTATTATTATTATTATTATTATTATTATTATTATTATTATTATTATTATTATTATTATTATTATTATTATTATTATTATTATTATTATTATTATTATTATTATTATTATTATTATTATTATTATTATTATTATTATTATTATTATTATTATTATTATTATTAAGTTATCGTCATTTTTTTATGAGACGTGCTATTTCCACCCTCCAAAGATCTTATTTCACCACCAAATTAGATATATTTTTCATTTTACCCCTTTCTTCTTCCTCCAACTATATTTTTTACACATTTATAAACCGTCCACCACGAAAATAATAAAAATCTTTATAAAAATAAACCCCACCATTTTCAGTGGAATCTTTACCACAAAATCTCACCATCCACACCTTAAGTGAATAATATTTTCGTCTGAGAAAAATATTTACGAAGGTCAAAAAGAGCAGGAATCCACCTTCTTGAGAAATAAATTAAGAATGCTTGTATGGAAGGGCCTGAACTTCCTCAAGAGTTGGCCAATTTTGCTTAATATAATTTTGTTTCCTAAAAAAACATATATAATTTGTCGGTCATCTGATATGAAAGCTTAAAGATCTTGTAATAAATATTTCATTGTAAAAAAAAGAGCCTAAAAAATAAAATTCAAGAAAATAAAAAATAAATAAATAATAGAAATAACTTTAACCATATGAGGATTAAGCGAATATAAGGGAGAGTAGTGGATTATAAACTTGAGGGGTACATATGACATTTTATATATTTTTAGTGGTGCATTGAGATACTTTGGAGGTGGAAATGGAGCCATTTTTTTCAATAAATTTTGTGGAACATTACACTGATATTAAATTTAGAGTAACAAATATGAAGATATTTTTTTTCAACTGTGCTACATACATCAAGATAAAGCAAAATTATATAAACGTAAATCTATGTTTACATAATACTAAATTGATTGTTAATTGTATAAAGCATGGAACAAGCTTTATTCCATGCTAACTTGAAGTAAATTATTGATACGCATATAAATAATGGGGAGACATGCAACCTCCTCAATCGGAAAATATTATGAGTACAACTCATTTGATTTTCAAGATTTTTACCCATATTTATATTTCAATTTTAATTAGTGAGACCCCTTTTCAAGATGGGATAAGACACAATTATCCTTAATAGCAGGTTTTAAAATAAATCAAATATATATTTATTATATTTTCTATAACCGTTTCCTTGTTTGCAGTTGTACATGATTTTATCTGTGTTAAATCCGTAGGCATGATTTTAGTAGATATACGCAAGTAATTTTTTGGGCAAGATCGAGGTGCCTAGTCGTCGTCTTTGTAGCGCTATGTACTTGGTGTTGAAGAAAAGTTGTGTGGAAAAGGTCAGCAATTGTTTGGAATTTTTTTTAATTTTTTTTTAATTAAGTCTATGGATTATAATATTTGGTTCACAATTTACGAGGGTTTGTTTTGTTCTGAATAAAATTTTATGGGTTTGTGTCTTTCTAGTAGTATCTGATTTCATTTTATCTCGATTTACAGAGTAGTCATATTTTCACTGTTCTGTTAATAATCATGCTTCTATTGTTTGTTAATTCTCACTGTTCTGTTAATAATCATGCTTCTAATGTTTGTTAATTCTCACTGTCAATTATAATGTTATACAAAGCAAAGTCACATAACAGTTATATTCTCACATTCTACAGAGCATAGTCACATAATAGTCATATTCTCACTATTCTATTAATAATCATGCTTCTATTAATTCTTATTGTCAATTATAGTGTTATACAAATCATAGTCACATAATAGACATATTCTCACTGTTATGTTTATAATCATGCTTTAGTGTGGGGAAAGCTAGTTGGCTGAATACAGTCATATTTATACATTGTAAATCATATTTTTTGTCAATAATAATAAAATGTCAACACTAATAGCATAAGAATTAATAAAAATTGAAGTATGTTTTTTAATGCACAAAAAAACAAACAAACAAAAATCTCGTTTGCGTTTTGATGATGCTTTCTTCTTCATTTTCAGGATATAAATTTGAATGTGACTATTTCAACTCAAATACTAACAGTATATGACTAGTAATTGGCGAGGGATGGATGATA